CCTTTAAAAATGGCAGATCCTTATGAGATACATTTCAATGGGCTATCTTATCTCTGTTTCATTTTACTGTTCCACCCCATATTCCTTTTAGTTTGCTCTATATTCCTTTATGATCCTTTTGTACATTTTACATATTTATAAGCTGCTCAAATCTTTTTTTGGAAAAAAGGTGAATTACAATGTATTTGGTCGGTGCATAACTGCATTTTAAAGGATTTTTACATGAAAATACTCTGCCATGGTTCTTCATTTTTTATTTTATTCCTTGCAACAGGAAGTCATCTACCATGTTTCTACCAGATCCTCTTCCATATATTTTCTTTGAGGACATTCTGTGCTTGATTGCCTTTCTAAAGTCAGTCCTCTGTTTCTGCTCAGCTGTTAACATTTTCAAAGAAATGTAAGGGATTTGATTTTCCAGAGATGCAATAACAATGGTCAAGTTCCTATTCATGTCTACACACCTTGCTTGGGCTCCTGGTTTTCCGTGAATTTGAAAAATCAAGTTATTTATTTCATGGATGTTGTTCAAATCTATTGAATGACCTTTGAAACTTGGTATTGAGCTCCTAAATTGGTACATAAACTGTTTTAGCCCATACAAAACTCTCCCTCAAATCTTGGATTAATGTGCTCAGTAGATATTTATTTAGATCTATTCCAGTAAAAGATTTCCATCATTCACTTGAATATTTAAGTATATACCATGTGCCAGAAGGTCTTGAAATTCTGAAAGCCTATAGGGAAGACATATATATGTGTATATATAGATATATACATATACATACACACACACACACACACACACACACACACACACATAAACAGAAAAAATTAATACATAAAAAAATGACAGATATAAACAGAATGTCCTGGGACTCCAGAAAAGAGCCCGTGAGTGGAAAACAGCCATGGAGGGGGGGGTGAGTGCCTTGCACAGGCAAGGGAAAATGGAAGGAGGAGATAGAGAGAAAATGATAAATAGAAAGGATTTCTTTGCATCAATGTTTCTGCCTCCAATTTGTTTTGGTTTTTTATTTGTTTAATGCCACCAACATTTGAAGTACATGACTTCCTTTTTCCCCAGCCAGCCTTAGCATTCAGGAGGTGTTCTGCAGACTTCAAAAGGTCAAGGTTAATACCTTAGGCCCGTGTGTGGAGGCAATGGAACTGCATAGGGAGCCAGGATGACGGCAAAGCACTGCCAGGAATCAGCAACTCACTGCTAAGGGAAAGCACGAACACCTCACCGTGGCCTCAGCACTTCCAAATCATAGGTAGAAGGGTCAGTTCCTTCATCAATACATAAAGGTGGAAGAAAACATCTTTCACAGAAGAAATCATGAAAAAGTTAAAGTGAGATACTCCCTATGCAGTTAAAGTGAGACACATGAAAAAGGCAGAAGACAGAGCACCACAAATCTGAATTGGCTGGACATGTGAATTAGGAAATCAATTTTAAGAGGCAGAAAAAAGGCCAGGCACAGTGGCTCATGCCTTGGGAGACCAAGGTGGGTAGATCACCTGAGGTCAGGAGTCCAGGAGCAGCCGGGCCAACATGGTGAAACCCCGTCTCTACAAACACACAAAAATTAGCTGGGCAAAATGGCAGGTGCCTGTGATCCCAGCTACTTGGAAGGCTGAGGTAGGAGAATCAGCTGAACCCGGGAGGCTGTAGTTACAGTGAGCCCAGATCATGCCATTGCACTCCAGCCTGGGTGACGGACTGAGACACCGTCTCAAACAAACCAACCGACCAAAATGAGCTGCAAAAAACAGCAACAAACGAAACAAGCAAAAAACAAACAAACCACACACACACAACCAAAAAAGTCCTCAATTTTCTAAGCTAGACCTACAAGTCTTTCTTCTTCTTCCTCAAGAAAAAAAAATGTCATTGAACTCTTTTACTTTGAATTAAAACAGGAAGGGATCAGCCAGGCACAGTGGCTCATTCCTATAATCCCAGTATGTTGAGAGGCCGAGGTGGGTGAATCACTTGAGGTCAGGAGTTTGAGACCAGCCTAGCTAACATAGTGAAACCACCTCTCTACTAAAAATACAAAAATTAGCCAGGCATGGTGGCGGATGCCTGTAATCCCAGCTACTCAGGAGGCTGAGACAGGAGACTCACTTGAACCGGGGAGGCAGAGGTTGCAGTGAGCCAAAATTGTGCCACTACACTCCATCTTGGGTGACAGAAAAAAAAAATAAAAAGAAAGGGGTCACATGTTACATACAGTGGATTTAACCAAGATGTCACTACATAAGAATGTGCACCTAATCAGTTAACTACAAATATATCATTACTATTAACAATTATATTATCAAACTTTGTGATTGACATAAAACATGAGATTGCAGGCAAAGGTATCTAGTGATATTGACACTCCCACTCTTACAACTGACTGATTAGAAGAGATTGTGGTATGGTCCTGGGGAATGAGGCTGTCTCATGGAAGTGTCTTTCCAAATGAACATCAGGGAGTCACAACAGAAAACGTTTACAAAGACATATTAGATCACTCTCATGAAAAAAAATACTATATGGCTGTTGGGGTTTATAATAGATCAACCAGAGAAAAGTAAGTCACTATGTTAAATTCTTCTTACCTCCATCATCCTCTTCGAGAATGCATTTTTTAAAAGGAGACAAGTTATTTCGTTAAAAATCACTTCCTCTGGCATTTTGCAAAGTATCAAATCGTGAAGCAAAAACCAGATGACAAACTTCCTGGTATCAGTCCCAACTATCATCTTTTACCAAACTAAAATTCAGATCATCACACTCAATTAACTTTGAGTCAATTAGCTCCACCAGTATATATAACCAGCAACATAAAATGTTTCATACCATTTTGTAAAGTGCCCTAAAATTTAAGAATATCATATAAATGTTTCAGTTAGAAAAGTTGAGAATGATACATAGTAGGGAACAGAAAACATGAAAATATCACCCAATCAATGATGCAAAACACGGGATATAAACCACTGTTAAAAGGGCTCTCCATGAAATTGATTAATTCTACTATATCTACCCCTGAGCATTTTGTATCAATAAATGTTATCATAAATAGTGTAGATAATGGGATCAAGATTTTCAGTTGTGTGTTTTTCTTTAAAAACTAAAAGTACTTTTACTCGCTTGATTTTCAGGTGCTATCATGTTAGAGGTCTCTCTGAACATCTTTGCTTAGTGGAACTCTTGTCTTGGCCTTTGAGAAACTGCTCTCTGTGTTACGATAAACTCAGTGTCCTACCTGGAACACCACTTCCTACACCCTATCTCCCATTTGTGTTCATTTCAGGGAGGACAGTCCACCTACTGAATACCAAGCAGTGTTTCAAAAGCACTGGACATTTGAAAAGGGAGATTCCAAGTCAAGTGTGGGCCCCATTTCAGTGCCCTTGTGGAAAGAAAAAAGGCATAAATACATCCCTCCAGAGACTGGGATAAAAACAGAAGGCAAGGTTCCCTTTGCAGAACTTTGGGCAGGGGACTGGAATAAAACCTTTTACATTCTTGGCCATTGTTGGTTTGAAAGGAAACTCATGACTAAGGCAATGACATGCAATAATGATAATTATAATAAATAATATTAAACACACTGAGCTAGGCACTGCAGTCTACACTCTAATGCTTCACATAAACGCCTGTAATTCTCAAAACAGTGCTATGCAGTACATGCTATTCTCATAACCATTTTACAGATGAGAAAACTGAGTATAGTAGTTAGAAAGTTTGCCTAAAATTACAAAGCTAAGAAGTGGCAACACCCAAGCTCCATACTCTTAATTCATGCTCTTCTACTATGTGTCCAAAATAAGTTTCTAATAACTATCTTCCTCTCTATGAGCTAATGAGGAAAAAAATATCAACATTCTTAACTCTAATATCTATGTCACCATTTAGGAAAACCTGGTGGAGGAGAAATCTATGAATAGCAATGATGCTCTCCTATTTACTCCTCATTCAGGCTTCAGAAATCAGTATTTATGCCTAGTTCATTCACCAAGAGGAAGTTTGGAAATTTACTACAACAAAACGAAGAAAAGCCCAGGTGCTATGCTTATAATTCTAGTACTTTAGGAGACCGAGGTGAGCCCCAAAGTCTGGATCAGCCTCGGCAACATGGTGAGACTGTGGCTCCATAAAAAATTCGCCGGACGTGATGGTGCACAGCTGTGGTCCCAGCTACCTGGGAGGCTGAGTTGGGAGCATCGCTTGAGCCAGGGAAGCTGAAACTGTAATTAGCCATTGCTCTAGTGCACTACAGAACAAGACCTTATCCCAAAAAAAAAAAAAAAAAAAAGAAGAAGAACAAGAAACAAGGGAGAAAACCACCATATCCCATATTTGTTACACAAATACCATTCTCAATTCTGTAAGACAAATATAAAGTGTTTTCTTAAAATCAGGATTGGCGGTCATCATCCTGCTAAACTCCTCCAAATAAAGCTGATGCTAATCTCATGCTATCTTCCCAGCCAATAACACAAAACACTATAAGATGATAAAAAGAGCAAAGAGAGAAAAGACTCAACAATAAATATTTTTAAAAGATCATATCTGAATGCCACGCAATTAAAAATAAAAGCTTACTTAAAACTAAGATTTAGGCCAGGTGTGGTGGCTCATGTCTGTAATCCTAGCACTTTGGGAGGCTGAGGTGGGCAGATCACGAGGTCAGCAGTTTGAGAACAGCCTGGCCAATATAGTGAAACCCTGTCTCAACCAAAAATCCAAAAATTTGGCTGATTGTGGTGGCCGGCACCTGTAATTCCAGCTACTCAGAAGGCCGAGGTGGGAGAATCACCTGAACCCAGGAGGCGGAGGTTGTGGCGAGCCAAGATTGCACCATTGCACTCCAGCCTGGTGACAGAGTGAGACTCTGTCTCAAAAACAAAACAAAACAAAACAAAACACAAAGATTTAATAAAACTTATATCTCTCCATCTTGCCTCTTCCAGTGATCTCTGAAGACAGAGGAAACAATTACCTGCTTCAGCATCCTTGAGCTTGTGTTCTTCATCAGGAGGTTTGGATGGTGGCCACATGGAAGAGACTCGCCTAGGAAACTGTCCTTCTGAGTAATCCAGTGAGTGTGTGGGTTGACTGACTGCAGCCCAGGTATAAAGTTGATCTTGCTATATTTAAAAATAAAAAATGTTGAAATGCTATTAATTCAGTTATCAAAAAAACCATGACTAATATATTACAAAATCATTTCTATGTCAATTACTTATCTGTGTATACATACATGAAACATTAAAACAGCATTTTATACTATTCAGTGTAGGTTCCTAAGATGCACATTTTTTTTTTCACACAGTTGTTTCTATCTTTATAACCACATTTGCCTCCACTTCTTTTCTATAGTAAAGCCTATGCCTCTTTCTTTGGAGGGAGAGATGCCATATAGGCCTGCAGGAAATTATAAAATCAGACAGTCCAGACACTCAATCAGAGAACTCCCTGAACTAGCATCTTTAATTCACTGGAATATGGTAACCCTTTTAAAATGGCTTATATACTCATGGGAATGTCAAAGGACAGGCTGTATTGAGCACCACAGGACGATAATAGCCTCCGTGCCTTCAACAACCAAAGACCCAGGACACCAACTTATCTGGGATCCAGGTTGGAAACTGTTTGGGAGAGAAACCATGAAGAAATAAATAAAGCTGCCAAGAAAAAAAAAGAAATTGGATAGGGATCTTCTGGCCAAGAAAGACCTTGCCAGCTACAGACCAACAGAATCTGGACCAAAGGAGAGAGCAGCTCGTACTATACCTAGGGCCAGGAGACAATCTGCAAATCTTACAAGGAAGGCTGTTCCACAGCCTGCAAACACCTTGGAAAACGGCTCATTAGGATTTCAGAGTAACAATGTGTTCGACCATTTTAGGAAGCGTATGCTTAATATACGCACGCCCTATATGTGTGGCACTTTTCTTAACTGGTTGTATTTCCCTAACACCTTTGATCAACATCAAGTAAAGTAAAGAGAAGAACGGTGTGGTAGAAGTGAAAGAGAAAAACAAAAAACAAAACAAAACAACACTGTAATTACTGGGTTGAGACTACAAAGTGAGTGAGTTATCTGATGGCTGTTGCTATTTCTGTATTGGACAAATTAAGAAATTTGCAAAATAATCTCCAGCATGAACAGGAAGATGCAATGGATAGACCAGTTAGTTTAAGCTTTGCACTTAGGGACAGTCGTTGGCCCTGAGAATGCAGATTCCTGGGGTCAGCTAGGATTGTACCAGAAAAGACCACATTTCAGACCTGGCGAAGCATTTCAGCTACGCATATATCTTCCAACTATCCCATCCTGCCCAACACCAGAACCTGTGCTATTTAGCATACTGAACAGAAGAAATAGTTTTTCACTGGTGAAATTAGTGGCTTTAATTAACATAATGAATGTTAGGTATAAGCTGTCATTGGAGAATCTGAAGAAATTCAATATAAGTAGATTGACTAAGATAGCGGAGAACATCCTCATCCTTAAAAAGGCTAGCACTCAGGCAAGGGATGATGTCAAGGTGTGACACCATGAGCGTGCTACCTCCAACCACTAGTTTAGGAGGATGTCTCCTTGCCTGCTGCCAAGAACCGGGCACAGAATCCTATTCCTTGGTGTTTGTATCACATGGACCTTTCACACAAGGTGAGGTGAAGCACCTACCACAGTGGCAAGCTGGCCACGCTCTGACTCTCAGGTCGGCTTGTTTAAGCTCTTGTGCAAACTAGTGCTGTATATTTAATGAATGTTTACATGTTGGGCAAAACTTCATTTGAGATTTGCTCTCATTAAAACCCAGTAAATCCTTACCCCATAAACAGAAATTCAAATGGAACAAAGACCAAAACGTTAAGACCTAAAATTACAAAACTCTTTGACAAAAACATACAGGAAAAGCTTCATGACATTGCTTTTGGCAATGAGTTCTGGAATATGAAAACAAAAGCACAAGCAACAAAAATGTAAAAACAAAAATCAATGAACTGAACTACATCGTAATTTAAAAGTTCTGTGCATCAGAGGATACAATCAGAGTGAAAAGGCAACCTACAGAATGGGAGGAAATATTTGCAAATCAAGTCTGATAAGGATTGAATATCCTGAATATAGAAAGAAATTCTACAAGTCAACAACAAAAAACAAATAACCTGAGTTTAAAATGGGCAAAGGACTTGAATAGACAATTGTTTCAAAGGAGATACACAACATAGTCAACAAGCACATGAAAAGATGCTCATTATCATTAATCATTATGGAAATGACAATAAAAATGAAATGAGATCACCTCACATCCATGAGGATGGCTATTACTTAAAAAAACAAAAACAAAAACAAATAAAGCACCAGCCTGGGAAACATGGCAAAACCTCCTCTCTACAGAAACATAAAAATTAGCCAGGTGTAGTGGCACACACCTGTAGTCCCAACTACTGGGGAAGCTGACATGGGAGGATCATTTGAGCCCCAGAAGTCGAGGCTACAGTGAGCCGTGATCATGCCACTACACTCCAGCCCAGCAACAGAGCAAGACCATATCAAAAACAACAACATAGAACATAAATGCTGGCAAGGATGTGGAGAAATTGAAAGCATTGTGCACTATTAGTGATACTGTAAAATGATACTGTTCCTATGGAAAACATATGGCAGTTCCTCAAAAAATTAAAAATAGAATTACCGTATGACCCAACAATTATACTTCTGGATATATATGCAACAGAATTAAAAATAGGATCTCAAATAAATATTTGTACACCTGTGCTCATAAGAGCATTGTTCACAATAGCCACAAGGTAGAAGCAACCCAAGCATCCATTCACGAATGAACAGATAAACAAAATGTGATACATATACAAAATGGGGAATTATCTAGCCTTCAAATAGGAGGAAATTCTGATACATGCTATAGCATGAATGAACCTGGAGGACATCTGGCTAAACGAAATAACCCTGCTACAAACAGACGAACAGGGTATGATTCTACCCATATGAGACACATAGCATTGTCAAATTCATATTGTCAGAAAGTAAAATGGTGGTTGCCAGGGGCTGGGGAGAGGGGCAACAGGGAGTTACTGCAACGTAATGGATACGGAGCTTCAGTTTTGCAAGATGAAAAAGTTCTGGAGATTGACTGCACATCAGTGTGAATACACTTAACAATACTGAATCATAAAATGGTTAAGGTGATAAATTAATGTTCTGTGTAGTTTCCCATGGTTAACAATGTTTTAATGATTTTTAAAACGAAAACAGTAAATTTGCAAGGCTGTTGGAAATAGCTAAGACTCACTTGCTCAAGAGTAGTGTATGATTAAATTGACAGGTCAGTTCTTAACAGGTAACACGGATACCGTTATAGCTTAAGAAAATAACTGCAAGGTAGCCAGGCATGTGGCTCATGCCTATAATCCCAGCACTTAGGGAGGCTGACTCAGGTAAACTGCTTGAGCCCAGGAGTTCAAGACCAGCCTGGGAAACGTGGTGAGATCCCACCTCCACAGAATATTTTTAAATTGTACAAAAAACTAGCCAGGGATCGTGGCGCACACCTTTAGTCCTAGCTACTTGGGAGGCTGAGATGAGAAGATCACTTGAGCCTAGGAAGTTGAGGCTGCAGTGAGAAACGTTTCTGAAATATACCCTCTCCAATTAACCTTCCCCACCCTCCAGTTAATGGTGATGATACCTATTTTAGCTACGGTGAGCTACAGTTATTCTACACAGCCCCAGAAAATAACTTATCTTAAATCTTTGCAGCCACTGTCCTCCTAATATCTCCCAGAGTAGCAGAACCAAACTGGCCACAACAGCATGCTTCTAAGCCTGAGCATTGATTCCTCATGTGTAACATACGTTAAATGTAGCATGTTTGGAAAAACGGTTGGTGCACCGGCTCCTCTGGGAGTTGGTGGAGAGAAGCAGGGCTGGAGTGACTGAGAGACTCCAGACCTGGCGTCATAATCAACCACCAAAAGACTTTGCCTAGAGAGCCATCATCCTACTAACAGCCTCAGAAATAATTTGTTCCAAATCAAAGAGGAAGCACCAACAATCAAGGGGATAAACTATCTCAATTTGAGTTTCATCATTCACCAAAATACAAAGCACGCTAAAAGCACTCTGTAAAACCTCATATAAACAAACAAAATATACAGTCAGTCCCTCGGTCTTTGGACCACACCTTGGAACTGTAATACATTACAGGGCTGTAATGGCAATCTCAAAACCTCTCATTCATCACATAGCTCCACTAGCAGAAAGTAGGCAAAACAAATTTATTTCATGGCTCCTCTACGTCTGCAGAATCAAATCCAAACTCTTCAACTTAAATATCATTTCAACGTTCCTATATCCCTACCATCTACCTTCCCAAATTCATCTCTCATTTCCTAAACCAAGCTTCATGCCACTAGAATGCCCTCTCCAGCTCTACCCACTCAAGGAGTCTAATCAATCACTTAAAAAAATCTGGTGGAAGTCCCACTTCACCTGAATCAAATCCACCTCACCTGAAAGGCCACTCCTGAATCAGACAGCTGACTCAACACACCTGCCACCCCACATTAGGACACTCAGTGGTGTCCTAGCCAAAATGGTGGCTTGTCACCTACTCCTGAGTGTATATCACGTTTCGTGAATTGACGGAAAACTTCTTCAGGATGAGAAGGGTGTTCACGGGTCCTGCAAATCTCCCCTAGCTCTGGACAGTGCTATGGTGACTACATACAAGCCACTTGAGACTGGGTGCGGTAGCTCACACCTGTAATCCCACCACTTTGGGAGGCGGAGGCAGGTGGGTCACCTGAGATTGGGAGTTCAAGAGCAGCCTGGCCACTGTGGTGAAACCCCCTCACTACTAAAAATACAAGTATTGGTTGGGCGTGGTGGTGTGCGCTTGTAACTCCGGTTACTCGGGAAGCTGAGGCAGGAGAATCCTTTGAACCTGGGATCAACAGAGCAACACTCTATCTCACTTGATGCCTACTGAATTAACACATTTATCAAGTAGAAGTAAACAAAAGAGATGGCTGGTCAACACAGGCAGAGGCTGCGGCAACTAATCTCATTTTCTTCATTTGTTTACCAAGGTACCAAAAGGAAACTTTGTGGGTA